GTATGAAAAGCTAAATAGTTGTATGGCACACAGAACAATGTGGGACATAACAGACTCAGCTGTGGAGACTTCTGGATGTACACATGAAGTAGAATTGGCTTGTGTTCCAATCAAGCCAGTCATGAGGTACTATAAGATATATAAGAGGATGGAATTGGGTACCAACATTTGGGTTTAAGGGCCTGTCTGTTTTCCTCCATGTGTGATTCCTCATGCTCATTATTCCTTGTTTTCACATAGATCTGTGGGTGCTCCTGAATGACCAAATCTTGTTTTGTAATCCCCAAAACTCCAATTCAGATAAAGAAAAACTCACCTTGTCTGCTGATAATGCATGTGTGCTGAGGTTGTTGCACATGGAGGAGGCAAAGCAGAAGCCTGAGGTGCTACGTTTTATACCTTTATTAAAAACAAACTCCAAGGCTAATTTGCAAATTGCCAACACTCTTTATGCCTTCACAAAAGCCATTTATGAGAATCTTCCAAACTTTGCTAGATAACAAACCTCCTTCATCTCCCGTGGTTTGATCCGACTGTAATGACCTCCTATTTTGACTCAGTCAGACCAAAACTGTCAGCTTAAAAACACTTGAAATGCATTTGCTTAGAGGTAGGATTTGGCTACACAGAAGAGGTAACTAACTATATGGGAAATAAAAGGTATTTATCATTTCAAAAAAGAAAATCCAAGTAATCCAGCATGAGATCCTAGCTCTCTGAAGATGGCTGGAATTCTGCCCACCTTTAATAGGCATTGACTGTCATTCCAAGTCTCCGCATAAACATGGAAGCTGAAGCTATGGACTGGGATTTCAACTACACACAGAGTAGCTCCTAATAGCGTGGAATTCTGCTTGTTTTCCTCGAGCACTTACGTTTTTATGGAGACATGTTTTCTACTGCGGCTTCCCAATAGAGTATTGAGAGGTAGCAAAGACTGGATTTTTTTGTTTGTTTGTTTAAGAAAGAGAAGTACTTTGGTATGCATGTCATGTCCCAGAGGAATACTGCTGACCTAAAAGCAAATGGATTTACTATCTAGCTGAGGCAGTTTCCATCCCTACTCCATGCCACCAGCTGAGAACAGTCTGACTGATGTCATAAGAAAAGCTCGAGTCTCTTACAGATGCAATCCATAATCCATTTAAGGAGAAGCTGAAGTTCCAGTCTCACATTGTAACAGCTATTACTCTCAGGTAATAGGGGTTAATTAAATAGCCAGTACAGCCTTGCAAGCAGAGTACTGAACCTGCCAATTTACCTGAAAATCAGATAAAGAAGTTGGTAAAATATCTTGGTCTGCCACTGGAGTGGCCTTTGAATGCAGACATGAACTGCAACTGAACTTGTGTGTCCACTGAAGAAGAGCAGCTCCCTAACCTGAGTTCAGAAGAATACCAGTTGGATCTTCTCATGTAACCATCAACACTTACAGATTTGCATGCATGATATCCCACCTGGATTTATCCACATAGCAGGAGAAGGGGGTCAAACTCTTCCCATACCTGGCAGCACGCCTCATCCTACAGCATAAGATTTTGGTCAGTCCCTGTGATCTCATCCATTTAATCCTTGATTTCTCTGCTATGTGGTAGAGGAGGCGCAAAGGTTATCTGTGATGCAGTTTTCTGCTGAGGCCACCAAACTCCATACACAAGAAACTACTGTTAGGGCAAACCAGACAACACACAGAATTAACAGGATCAGGACTGATCACTACGAAACAGAATTAACAGGATCAGGACTCTGATCACTACTAAACTGGGCGGACTGGACAAAGTGACCTAGAAGGAAAAAACCTTTTTTTTTCCTATTATCTCTCTCCAATCAGCCCTTCCTCTTAATTCTGCATACATTTTCTTGTGTTAAATAAATACCTGCTAAGGGAACAGACCTCTGATGAAAGGATAATAAATGAGCTCAATATATACTGCCATTTCATGGGTTTCTGCTATGCACTGCCACAAATTTAAAGCCAATTATGTTCTGTTTAAATATTTAACACTGTAAAGCTAGCCAATTTTACATCTTGTCAAAGATAATTGAAATACCCACTTTGTCCCTTTAATAGGGAGGCAGAGCATCCACGAGATGGAAAGTACCAGTGGGATTTCACTGTTTGCAACTGGATGTTGGAAATACCCTCAATTCCTCAGAATTTAGCAAGATCAACTCTGACACCGAAAGCACAAATCTGCATACAATGTGAGACTGAGAGCAGCCACCAACAATCTCAGACCAACTGGCTACTGCTGTCTCCCGAAACTAACTGTATCAGCAAGCTTTTATTTGCACAGCTGCAACACTAGAGGACCCCACATACACACATTATAGACTGAAGATACAACTCATTTAAATTGAATCCTGAGGCTCTGCAAGGAAGCAACCTTTGTGTAACTGGTTCTTCACAGACACTCCTTTGAAGTGATGAAATCCTGTGGCTGTGACTGAGCTTGTAAACATTGTGCACTCAGAGTTGCTATCAAATTCAGGGGGAGTGCCACCAGGCCAAAAGCTAGTTACAGGAGATGGCCCTGAGCTGATAATGCTAGGATAAAAATTTCAGAATCAATCCCCAAGACATCAGGGTGCGAACTTTTCTCTAAAGCATCCAAGTTATGACCACTGGAGCAACAGCATTAGGTAAGCTGGAAATGCCATGAAGCTTTTTCTTTCTGATATAGTAAAGAAAGGACTTGAAGACTGTCTTTCAGATGTAATCCTTAGGGGCAACTGAGCAAAACTTAACTTTTGCGACTGTTCCATTAATCTACCAGAGGTGGTATGATATATAAGTTCAGCAATTAGCTGTGTAAATAGGTTTCCTTTACTGTATCTGCATTACTGAGTCAACACTATCTTTCTGTTGAACTATTGCTGTCCATGGCAGGGCAAGGCACCATGTTATCCAAGTATTTTTAAGAAAGATTAATATCCTCACAAAAGATACACTACAAACTGTGAAAGGCATCTCCCTGACAAGGCATTTGCCGTTTCTTCTCCTAAGTCCCTGTTTGGATGTTTGGGATAAGCCAGCAGACAACAGGAGAGAAAGCTTAGCAAAAATTATCACAGAGGAAGAATTTGAAATATGACATTAAAAATCCTGTTTGCTTTTCAGTTCTCTGGCTTCAGCAAGACATGAACAGGTGGCATACTATTGAGCTGTGGCAGGGATGTTACTCAGAGATCTAAGACCAGTTTTGCTGGGCCTGGAACCATCTTTTCCAGTGATGCCTAAAGGGAAAGATCATGGGAGAGAGAGGGTTAGAGCTCTTGGGTCCAGGAGCCTAGCTGCCCAAATGCCCCATTACAGAATCAGTGCAAGGTTAAAAGGTGGCAAGGATCCATTCCCAAACAACCAAAGGTCTTCAGAACAACATTCCCATTGCTCTTGTACCAGCTCCAGGCTAAAGCCTGACACAAACGGCTTCCCTGGCAGCAGGCCTCAGCATGAGGCTATTGAGAGCCCAGAAGTTACAGTCTGTGTGAAATTTTCTGGCTTCTGCTATGCAAACACATGATCAACCTCTGCTGTGAGCAGTTGTACGTATTTCCAACTGCCACCCTGGATCCTCATGAGACACAAAGTACCAGAAGTGCCTTGCCCGATGTCATAAACATCAGGAAAGTAGATGCACAGAAGGTCTGAAAATTGTCTCAGAGTGGGGAGTGTTTCTGGCTGCACAGGCTTGCTCTGATCTGTGGCTAACCCCTTGGTTTCAGGAAAGCTGAGGTGACCACTGGGGCAGCAGAGGGAACAAAGCGAGACAAAGGAGTTTGCAGCTGCTCCATCTCTCAATGTACTGAGAAGAACACAGGGAAGGAAAGACAGACAAAAAGGAGCAAGATCCCAAGGCTGCTTCTGGCTTTGGACTGGGTCTTGGAAATTTTGCCATAAAGCAAACTCTTTTTTCCTATACTCCATTAGCCAAGCAAGGTTATTGAAACAAGCCAAGGCTGCTTTTTGTGGCTTAGGAGGCTTTGAAATCAGCTTCATCAATCATTCGGTAGTGGTACTCATGGAGGAGAAGACAAATGCTTCTTGGCCCAGACAAACAGAAATCTTTAACAATTGTGTTGTGATTGGCAGCATCTGCAGGTAGCAACACGGTAAAGCCTGAACCATTAACAAACCTCTGCCTGCTCCTGGATAACCTAAAGTCACCCATAACCAGTGCCTTGGGGAAACCAGCTGGATCCCCAGCTACAAAGGCCATGGAAAAACATCAGCTAGCTTTAAAGCAGCTCTCTGCTCCATGGCAGGCTTGCAAGTCTTGCATATTTCTAGTTTGGCTCTTCCTATTTCTTGATTCTCCCCATGACAGACTGACTGAAAAGCAGGGAGTCTGTCATTGTTTATTTCAGCAATTCTTCCTTAATGTTGCAGACATGAAGCCCACGGCAGATCTCTTTCCCACTCAGAGCTGTACAGCGTACAACCTGCAGGATGAGCAAGCACATGTATCCTCCCATGCCCTCCCTCTAGCACAGCAGCTCAAAAATCCTCACCTGAAAGGAAAAAGCAAACCAACGAACCCCACAATGACCAAAATCTCTGGCTGTGCCTATAGCAGAAGATTATTATGTGATTGCAGACTCCTGCTAACAAATCTCAGAGCAGTAGCCTCCTGCACAAGTAGCACAAAAGCTTGCAGGCGTATAATATCTAAGTTAAACCCAGACCCATAGAATGGGTTCATCCAGAAACTACCCGTCTGAAAGCTGCTACAGTTGCATCTCGCTTCCAAACAAGCCACAGGATCTATAGTTTCCAGTAAATCAGAATAGT